AATAAAAAATGCCACTATTTGATTTTATGGTCCGGTGCAAAAAGATAGATACCTCGAAATTGATCGCTACTTTCCGTGATATTAGCCTTGACGGCCCGTAACGATGCAAGTTTAACGGCATCCAACAATGGAATTAAAACTTGCCATATACAAGTGTGCCAACTATATGTGCTCTGTTTATATCAATATTTTTCTGTTGACCCTATTTGAGAATATAAATAATCAATAAGCTACTATTGCCAAATTTGACAAAATATCTACTACTAAATATGGTAGGGGAAGTACTGATGAGGAAAAGAAGTTAAGCGTTACACACGGATCGGTATTAGTGTTAAACTCTCCGTGAAAACTTCTTATTCAAACGATGTCATTAGTTCTTAATCCAGCAATTGACAACTTGGCTCAATCCTCCTTGGAAAGTGAAGATAAAGGCTTAAGACTTGAATGGATTCCTTGCTCGCAAATTACCGACATAGAGCCAACTCAAGTTGACAATGTCTACAACGCTACTCGCAAATACACACTAGACGATGGTACGGAAACGACGATAATACTGGTATTCCTTGGAAGTAAAAATGAATGTACACCAACACTTGTGAGTGAGTTTGCTAAAATATACTCACTTCCGACACACAAGCACAACAATGACGTTAATCGGTTCAGAAGATATTCCAAATGGCTTACATATCGCAACAGTCTAATAAAGGGGTTTACCAAATATAATAACAACTATTACATGGTTGCTAAGAGACGCTTTTACCATTATTATTCTCGATATGGATTTTGCACTGCATGTGGAATACTCCGATGTAGTCCTGTGTGGTGCATCTGTGGATATAAACAATTATCCGATGGATGGACTAGCAACAATAAGCAACTCGATGAGTTTATTATTAAAGAAATCTCAATTACAAACAAACTCATCAAATCAACCCTATTTGGAATGGATTCCATTCGATTGTATTGATGATGAGGGGAATGAATGGTTACAATTGAATGGACTACCTACTTATCAGCGTGTTGAATTGATTCCACTTGAGATAACAGACGAGACACATGATTTATATTATGCCGAGGTAAACTAATTACTTATGCGTCATGTTTATTGAATAGTTTAAATAATTATTGACTTATTATTATGTATCATTTCCCCTAGTTATGTGATAAGCATCCAGATATTCTTACCACGGATGTTTGGTTTACCATCGGATTCACATATAATGAACAGAAGTATTGTCTAATAAAAGACGATGGATTATGTCTGGCGTGTATGGAGCGATTGGAACCTAAGATAAATCTATTCTGTTTCAAATGTAAATCCCCAACACCTCCTGATTGGACTACGGGCAACAAGTCATTGGATTCATTTATTATGGAATCATGGAAGAATACAAAGAATGAATATGATGCGTATATACAATGGATAGAATACACTCTATTGATGAACGTACGAGAAATGACATCATTACATCATGGATGTACACATACAGCAGATTGGAGAACAAATGAATTGACACGCGTGGCACTCAAAAAAATAGTTGACGGACAAAACGATCGGTTATTTGATTTTCATCAGGTAAATTATTTCACGTGTAAAATGCAAATAGTATTATTAACATGTGTATTGCGCATTTAAATCAACCAGTGTTGTCTATTCAAATAGCTAACTAAGGAATACCCAGAGATATTAACACCCGAGAATATTTGGATAATTGGGAGCCATCTACTCGAGAATACTATTTAGTGTTCTACTATGACATACATGCACTGTTGGACAAGTTCATACAAAATAATGAATGTATAATGTACATGCAGTATAGCGACTTTTACGAACTCAAAGAGATCGGATCTGGTGGTTATGGAACAGTTTATACTGCCAAATATAAAGGCGAACTAGAGTATGTGTCAAAAACTGTTGTACTTAAACGCTTCAAGAGTTTTGATGAAACACGGGAACTATTTATTTCTGAGGTAAGCAATAATTGGTTGTATTAATTAAAGTGATATTTAATTTGACGCTGTATTTATTTTTATTCAATAGTTCAGAAATCATGCCAAGTGCATAGACCGGTCTTCTTCGTTCCTTAAAATTTATGGAGTCACACAAAACCTAGAAACAAAAGAGTACATGATTGTTATGCAATATGCTAACAATGGTAGTCTTTTGTCTTATTTGGATCAAAATATTAACAAATTGATAAATTACAGCATTTGGGGGATATTGCATGGTATATGTATAGTATTCATAGTACGGGATTAGTGCATTGTGATCTTCATGGCGGAAACATAGTTTTGCATGATGGGTTAGAATCATTCATATGCGATCTCGGTCTCTCACAATCAGTGAATTCACACGAGTCACATTCAACTATTCGAGGCGTTTTACCGTTTATTTCACCGGAAGTCTTTCATACTTGCAAATTCACTCAGAAGTCAGACATATATTCTTTTGGTATTATTATGTATTTGATGGCCACCGGTGAACCACCTTTTAGAGATCGGCAATTCGATAGAGGTTTGGTATGTGATATTATGGGTGGATTACGACCATCGATGCCTGATTCCGCACCAGAGAAATACAAGAAACTTGCCGAGCGGTGTTGTGATGCTGATCCTGATAAGCGTCCAGATGCATCGGAACTTAAGAATTATATTGGCAAGCTTATAAATGAGGGCAATTCTGATACGTGGAATGCCATTTATTATAATGATGTAAAACCCTTGGCACGTCTCGAAAAGGAGAATAAATACTCTAGTAAGCTCTTACCCACAGGAGAATTACCTAAACAAAGAAATAGCTATGATTTGGATTCAGCTGCAGGTATGGTTACACATTGGTACAAATAAGTTAATTTAATATTAACACTGTGATTTCTATAATTTAGAGACTCAAACTCTTTTTTGAATAAACTTGTAATTCAACGGGCTTATAAGAGTTTTGTTCAAAGGTTCGAATTATACAATGTGCTTCCACGCATGTCAATATGTTGGGCTATGTAAGAAAATAGTAAATCTTGAGACTAATGTTTGATGCAATCGGTAATGAGTTTAATACGTAGCAACGTTCGAGCTCGGTTCGAAGCAGCTTGATGATGCGTGTTTCCTGTGACATTGTTTTCATACCCAACCAGAATGCAGTCGACCAATAAGGTCTCGATAGACGCGATAGCCACTTAATGACTAGAATGCAGACAAGAATCCTGGAGCCGCGATAAAAGCAGATCCCACACTTGCTCAAATCTTCCGATTGAATAAACTCCTGTAAGAACTAAAATTTTAGGTCATCCACAGTATTACGCAAGTGATGAATCATCAATCACTTATATCCCACCTTAATATTGCATACCGTGACGTAAACTCATTGTATCTAAGAATAGAGATACACTGTAATTATTGTCGTCGTGGTCATCATGCAAAAACTCCAATAGTTGAAAACATTAAAGAGTATTCATAGAAATAAAATACTACAGGGAAATCTGATGAACAAACAAACCACCTGATCGATCAGTCCATAAATTAGTAGTATAGTAGAGAATTTCTGACACTCCTGTGTCAGATTTTAGGCAATACAAAGTACAAAACGGAAGGAATGCACAGAAAAATATCGACCGCGAAAAATCTATAAATACGGGTCGAGTTTCATCATCGAGTTAATTCCAACTGATATTTGTCACTAAGATATTAGTGCGCCAATAGCAGAAAGCGTCAATCCATCGACACAACCTAGACTCGTACCTTTCTTGTTTATAAACGTATAAAGTAAATAATAGTGAGTGCACATTCAAAGAGTCCACTCTTCACTTGGTATTGCGGGAATATTGACTAGTCAAAATACCAAATCGAAGATTGCCCTGAATTGAATTTAAAATTAAATTAAATTATTAAATTGTTGTTGTTTGATAATCGTTGGTATCCTTGTTAAGATACGAGTAGAAAATACATCGTATAGCGAGCGCGAATAATTAATTTATTAATTTAAACAGGTCACTCGAAGCATACTTCAGTCTTAATTGTACGGAGTAAGTGCGGTAGTACTGGCGAACACACCTACGTCAAAAATAATTTCACTCTTCCTCTCAAAATATGTACCAACCGTAACACACGTAAAATAGTGTGATCTGATCCAGACTAATTGTATTGGCTAAATCCCAAGGCATCAACTACTATTTTCGATTTGTCGATGTAGATCATTCTTTTGTAGTAAAAAAATTCTGGAAGTTTCTGTAACTTCTTGAAGGGTATTCATTAAGTCGTCACGGGATTGACCTGTACTTAAGTAATACAGACAGTTCAGGAAAATACTCAGCCATTTCTTTGCTGCATGTCGCCATTTTTAGTCTCACATCTTGCTAACTGACTTTATCATAATCAAATTCTAATTTCGAGCGCCAATCAGATTTCGAGATTCTTTTGCAGATTATTCTAGAATTGATCTGCAATCTCTCCGACTGCATTATTAATTATTTCTTGCTCCCTTATTCGTTATTGTTTTAATGGATGGATAGGTAATAAGTGGCCTCTTTTGTCTCTGGGTGCGGATCTGGATCGGGCCCCTCTACTTACCATTCTCACCAGTGCTCGCCTGCGGTGAAGGGGTCTGATGGGGGGATGTTCGGAACACTCTCAGACCTATTTAGAGTGGTGTTCAATGCCCTCCAAATGCTATTAAAAATAGACAAGTTTAATTCATCAGTAATATCTTAGGAAGCAGAGGTGTGAACCTAAGTTTGAGATTCTAGCGGGCTTTTTTAGGATTAGCGAAATAGTATGACTCACGTGACTAATATCAATAAAAGTTATGACTATGCCCAATCAAAAGAAACCTTTAGTCACATGAATCGATCCAATCCAATCCAACACGTCGGCGCTTACGGACTCTATATCCTCAATATACTATAATAATAACTATACCTACCTACCTCTCTTTGCTTCCTCACACGTCGTCTGATCATACGAAGTATCAACGCAATACGCGACACATACATAATTCACAAACAGAAATGTCTGGCATCTGCAGAGCAAGACTTCTCGAGGAACGAAAACAATGGCGACGGGATCATCCCTACGTGAGCATACATTACGCACTCTTTTCTTGCTTACTTATATTATAGGAGGCAATATTTACGTATTCTTGTACCCTTTCAGGGCTTTTACGCACGTCCAGTAAAGGGTGAGAATGGCCTTGATCTTATGACTTGGACTTGTGGCATTCCTGGAAAGCATGGGGTATTTGCAAACATTACTATCAAGCATTAGTTTTATTATTGCTATTATTTGCTGCTTGCTGTTGCTGTCCTAATACTTATTCAACCTTTCAATCATTGTAATACGTTATGCCTCATCTTATCAACGTCGACAACCTTTTCCATTAACCAGACACCTTGGGAATCAGGAGTATTTAAGTTGACTGTATCATTTCCAGAAGGTACGCAGATGTGTTGGATACCACAATATGTTGATATCAAGAAACTGGGTTGATGACAACAATATATTATTCAAACTTAAGATGCTTTTAATTCATATTTGTCTTTGTTCTTTCTACTCCTTGTACCAATGCCCATATTGCATGAATCGTTCGGATGTTGCTTACGTATCAATCAATTCCGTGTTCTCTTTTCTGTTTAGAATATCCAAGCAAACCTCCAAAATGCAGATTTACACCGCCATTATTTCATCCGAACGTTTATCCTTCAGGCACCGTTTGCTTATCAATTTTAAACGAAGAGGAGGCTTGGAAGCCGGCAATCACTATCAAGCAGGTCTGATGTTAAATTCGCCGACGGAGATTATGGATGTCAAGAGAAACATTCGATGTATATTATCGATGAACAGACTATTTCCATAATCTGCGTTGATACGAATTATTGCTTCTCCTTTAATTGTACTGATTCACATACTTGTATACGTTTATGCTCACACAACATTCATTCTTCGTCAATGCTATCGTTTACACACACCTGACTTTTTTGTTTTTGTTATCGGGATTAGATTCTTCTCGGCATCCAAGATCTTCTCAATGACCCCAATCCAGACAGCCCGGCTCAGTCGGATGCTTATATGTTGTACAAGTGAGTATTTGATGTTCTAGTATGCAGATACGGCATTCAAAGATTTATTCTTTTATTTGTGCTATAAAATAGGAAAGACAAGGCCGCCTATGAAAGAAGAGTTAGACAGCAAGCAAAGGAATACTCTGCGCAGTTATGAGAATTAATTCATGTTTTGACAGCTATGGTCTTCATTGTACAGTGGCTATATCATTTTGAAGAGCTTGCTTCATTACTCTATATCGGCAGCTATTAGAAGTGTACAGTGCCTGCGGTTTATGACAATCCTGATAGATTCTTCCGTTGAACAATTGATTTTTTTTATGCTTGTACATTTATGTTGGATTACATCGCAATACATTAATTTGCTTCGTATTGATTGTCAGTTTACAGTATAGTTTTAGTGAGAAGTAGACGTTCCTGGTCTATTTACTTGATCATGGACAACAAATGAATGTCAAAGATTAATATACGTATTATGTCGGAACGCAATGTTAATTTACTGTAACTTGAACTTTACCGTACGCGAGACGGGAACAAGCATAAACTTGTAAACTTTATTCAATTTGCCTGATGTATGTAAACCAGATACATTATTTATTTGCCCGTGACTCTAAGCTATCCGTATCAGAATTGCATTTTGAAGACTGATAACGACAGAGTAGAAAGCCTTTATTGCAGTTTAAAAAAATCACTTATGTAGCTAATTTGAAGGTCATAAGACAACGGGCATCCTGCCTTCACCTCGTTTTCTTATGATTAATTACTTACTCTCAACATTTTTTCTTAATTTGCTCCCTACTTCTTACGAAATTCGGGCCAATCATCCAATGTAAACTCAGGTAGATAGAGTCGAGGGAGTACAATTTATAATAAAGCATACAAACATAATTAACGATGTGGGTCATTCAATAAAGCCTGTTCAGATTTGATTTGATGCAAATTGCTAAACTGCCTTTCATTATAAATGAAGCATGAATAAATTCACTTAATTTCAGATGACATCGACACGTTCATTCCCAGTTATAGTAGACTTTAAAACAGTGCAGATTATGACAATAAAGCCAAGTGTCGATTTGGAAGAAATACTTAATGAAGACGTATGCTTGAATTTACAATATGTTACAGTCATGACAAAATTAATTAACAGGATATGTCTCGCCATAAAGTGTTATTTTATTTTTTCTAATGACGCGATGTAGATAAGTCGCCGTTAGAAAGCTTCTTTCAATTTTACTAATGTGCTGTATGTATTTTGTGACATTTATGTTAACACATATCATTTTCATACGCGTAACATAGGTACTGCCTCTTGCAGCTTAGAACGATAATGGGACCGAATATTTCACTATTTTTTTCAGAAAATACAACTGATTAGCTTCAAAACAATACAAAAATTATTGCAACTTACATAGTACGTACAGACACTAGAGATTTTCAGGAAAAAAAAAAGGAAGATTTTTCATATGTTTTACTCTGTCATATTAAAACTAGCTTTATCAAAGCTTGGAAATAAAGTCACATTAATGTCGTGTTTAAAACGATTAGGTAATAGATGCGAGGGGAGTGGTTTAGGTCCAGCGACCACAATCCCCAAGTTACCACTAGTATGGGTTTCCAAGATAACAAGTTGGGTATTTTAGGATAATGAATTTTTTTATATTTTATTAACCTGGCAGCAAAAGTTGAGGACTGACGTCACCCAAAGACGCTCGCATACCATTGTACGTTAGTTAACACGTACTTCAAAAGACCATAAGAAAGAGAAATCCCCACAGAGCGCGAAGGCAGGAAAACAAGTGGCTGATCTATTGTATGAATTGTTCTTGGCTGATATCATATCGCTTTACGTGATGCGATAATAAATGGATAATCAAAACGTTTGATAAAAAGGTTTCGACATGTGATTTTGACAAATAAAGAAAACCAACTATTTATAGGTAAAAAAAAAAGTAAAATAAAAATAAAAAAGAAACCACAGTCGATGCTTCTATTCGGCTTTAGCAAATGTAAAGATAAAGCCTATCCAGCCTAAACTTCTTGCTCATGCGCATCTACAATATCCGTCTTCCCTTTCCATTCAGTCATCGCCATCTTCGTCGTCGCTTTCAATTTCCTCAACAATCAAATTACAACTGGGACACAATACTTTCTCATCTCCTATGATCTTTGTCTTATCCATAGGATGAACAGTGCGAGGGTATGGTGATACGAGGACAAATTTGTATCCGTGTGTGTAATTATCTGGAGGCTTGGATGGTGAGGAAAAGCGTTGAAGGCCGTACGTATCGACAAATGTGTATATTGTCTGACGGAAAAAGAGTATGTGAAGGGGAGTTTGTTATAACAGAGTGATTAAAATAATAATACCATTTTTCCTTGACGATCAAAAGTTTGTCGCATATCGTCTCCCTCTCTTCTCTCCCAACACACCCCTGTTCACTTTCCGATCAAAATTTTGTCGCATATCGCCTCCTCCTCTCTTTTCCCCCAACACACCCCTGCTCACTTTCCGATCATCTAATAATTTCTGACAAAATTCGATAATTCTCCTTCAAAACCGTAAAATCCTAACACTAACCTCAAGGCTTTCCGAATCTCGAAACCGTCTAACAACTCTCTTTCCATCCGGGAATTTAAAACTCAATCTTGTAACCCCTTTATCTCTGTCTCCTGGTTCTTCCGGAAGACTTTCGACTGCCCATCGCCTCCATTGTTCTCTCTTCTCTTTCTTCTCCTTATACTCTCTCTCTTTCCGTTCCGTTTCTATTCGCATTTTCTCTTCTGCTATTCTTTTTGCCTCTTCCGCCTTACGAGCGCGACGATCTTTTTCTTGATCAGCACGAAGGGATGCATAATATGCATTGTCTTGTGCTTCTCGAAGAGCTCGCGTAGCTTCGTGTGCTTCGCGTTCAGAGCGGAGGCGGGCAAGAAGAGGCGTGTGGCGTTGGAGGGAACGGGTGAGGTTGACCAAAAGATTTTCGGCCGTCGAGAGACCTATGGAGAAGCGAGATAGTCGTTTGTAATAAGTCAATAGAGTGATGGATGAGAATTTCCAAGTCTTGATTTGATAATCTTGTGAATTTTATCAAATAAACAACAGTAGTAGATAATCATAAAATATTCTTTCTCATACCCTCAAGCTTATCAGAAAGGACCATATCCATTCTTCCAGTTCCAGGAATCTGCTGATACACAATGGTTGCAACAAATGGATATGTAGTTGCTCGAAGTTTATTACTCACTAAAAAAATCATAAATAAATAAATAAACGCATATGCAGATATAGGCGTAAACGACTTTACGGTCACATTTTGATATTTGACAAATATACCAAACATTTCTCTTTTCTTACGCATTTACTTTCCCCCGTTTTACCTTGATATGCCTCCGATTCGCGAACATTCCCTCCCCATACGATAAAGTCATTCTCTCTGAAGAAATCTATCAATTGTGGAGAAGTAAGAGTTTCACTTGAAGAAAGATTTAAATATAATAAACCACACAAAAATGGTAAAAGCGAATAGCAGTAAGAGTCAATTATAAATTGTGATCAATTAAACCTTAACAAATTATCGGCAAAGTTAACATACCTGTTAAATTTGTCTGTATTGTAATGTTCATCAGATTGTAATATTACAACTAAAAACTGATGATTTCTTTTTGCTTGATCCAACGCCTAGAAGCGAATCAGATACGATAAGCACAGAAAGGACATCCATTAGATGCGCGTAATCTCACTTAGATAACAAACAAAAAAAGACAAAGCATGGACCATCTATCAAAACTACAAGCTCTTGTATTTAATTACCATGATTCTGTCAATTCTCACATCCCATTTCTAGCTTTCATTTACCAACCTGTAAATAACCTCCAGCAAAAAAGTCGGGATGTCTCTGCCCATACTTCTCTTCAAACTCCCTCTTGAATTTCTCAGCCGCAACTCTCGGATTCTGCTGTACTCGCGTACTAGCATTCTGAGTTATCGTAAGTGGAGATACGAGAATGTAAAATACGGCTCCCAATATCGATTTTACTATAGACACGCAGGCATAGATAATATCCATGGGGCCCATATTGCTTTGGCCAAAAAGAAAATTTGTGGCAGCGGCGGTAGAGCCAAATATGCGTAGTAGCAAAGCAAGCGGGACTGAAGTGAGCGACAATAAATGATAAACAAGTAGTATTTCAAAGGATGGGAATTTGGGGCATTTGATCGTCAAATAATATTATTACCACGTGGGGAATTGAAAATATGAAATCACATGCCCTTCTTTGATACTGATAACGTTTAATGCTCTTTAGAGAACAACAGCCAAATGCCACAATTGAACATACAAACAAATTTCAGGATTAAAATTTACAAGTTGTACCACCCTTTATGCGTGGAGAGCATTGTGAGCATTATTCATTATTTAGTGGTCCTGTATTTATTTGGACGTTCTAAATTTAGCCCCGAATAAGCTTTATATTAATAATAAGATCTGCTTTGTATTTGTGTTCCTGCTTATGTGTGTACTATCCTACTTATTGGCGTCCACTTCCTTCCCAGGTTCAGATCAAAGCAAAAAACTTTAATAATTGGGTTGATTTACTTTGTCCCGTTAAAAAGTCCGTCGCTTATCATCAGTATTATTGTTCACGCATTGTTTAAAATGTGACAGAACCAAAAAGACAACCGACATTGTCTTTGTTTTTCAATGATTATTGAAAATAAGTCTGTTTTCTCGTACAACATGGGGGGGGGGGAGTTTTGGAATTGATAATTTCATAGTTTATTAAAGGCACAAGACGTTCGACGCCATTAACTTTGCAATTGACGTCAACCATCTAAGGCCCTCACTTATAGTCAATTGATCCTGTAATATTCTCTATTGCGGACAATATACTCGATCGTACCTGGTTTTCCGTTTTACTAATAAAGCTAAAAATGAGTTCAACGTTTCCCCTATTTCGTGGGGTAAACAAGTTATTTACATTTGTTTACGAGGTACATACACTGGATTTCGAATATTCAGGGAAATCCAAGCTTTGTCCACAAAACATGCACGTAACGAACGCACGGATCGGAAGATGTGTGGATATGAAAAGTACTCTCATCTCAACGTCTAATAAAGTCGAAATTATTTACGGAGAGGTAGCCGGAGGATTGAGTCTGTTCAGAATACCCACTGCCAGTCGTAAAAAATATTATCTTGATAAGGTAAAGCTCGTGGTAATGATGCGGGACAGTATAAACCGATTGCAAGTTACGTATCATTGCGAGCTTAATTACACATGGGTGGTGAGTTTTGTATGCACTACTTGTTATATTGGTCCAACTTGCTGATAAACATTTACATCCTCAAATTACTTGAAGTAATGTTGTTTGCTAATGCTAATATTATTTTGTAAATAAATCTGTATCTGACTTGCATTCCAATGTAGAATAAGCCGAGAAGTAGTGAAAATTTTATTTTAGAGAACACGAGGAGGAAACGAAGGCAAATTACATCCGAAACTGAAGTGGTGTTGAATGAAAAACGTTCTCCTTAATATAAAGCCAAATTCATGACATGTGACAAATTCTTGAAGATTCATTTATTGGAATAAAAAGCTCCAACAAATTAGACAACCACATCAATATCTTTAATCCCGAAGATGATGGTACGTGGGCACAAAAGGGGAAGAAGAGCCAATACCACATGGGCTAATACAATGCCAAAAACGGAGAGGAATGGAATCACTACTGAAAAGGGAGTATAAGAGACTCCAAATTATATATTACATTTTGTACATGTAAAAGTTTTTTAAAATAATTTTTCGCTAAAATTTACAAATCGCCAAATCACCTTGTATATGTATGAATCCCGTTATACTGAAGCACTATAGCACCGGCCTCTTCGGTATAAGGGGGTTCACCTTATTAAGTAAATTATTATTATTATTAGAATTTGTTAGATTTATTCTCATACGCATTCTAGCCCTTAAACTATAATATCAGTTTCGAATGGGTTGCAATCAAATATTTGTTTTGAATTTTTTCTTTGATAATAAGATGACAACAACAATTATAATGATAAGTAAACTTATACATCTTGTTAAGCCCTATCATTCTGCAGTTATAGATTGTGAACAAAAAACTTAATGTTTAAAATTATATGCTTTTTTATCTTTGTGATCAGATTTCTGCTGAACTTACATAATAAAATCAAAACAAATACATAATATTGGTAGAAAATACATCAGTAAATATCTTATACACAGAATCTATTTCCATTATTAATAAGTGATTTTTCTTTGTTTAGATATTCCTCGAGAATTTTGGTATTATTTATTTTAAAAATGTGTCCAACCCAATAGAATGTCTGACAAAAATAACAATACCAAACTTCTAATATGGGGTAGACTGCAACAAAACCAGACAAAGTGAACATTTAGTCATGTGAGCTAAAGGAGGCTGATGTGGCAGGAAAATGAACTAATTTAGCTGATAACATTTTGGTGAGGCTTTGCTTGTTTTATAGCTGTGGCTCATGCCCAAATCCATAAACTAAATTTTAGTGACATTTTTAGACCTATTGCTATGGCTACGCGAGTGTGACTAGCATTCATGTATAAAAGCAAGATGAATTCACATTCACCAAAGCCAAAAACGCTTGCTACAACATATTTTCAAACTGTACAAAAAGATTGTACATGGTGCGAGCAAAACATTTGCACTATTCAAAAAAGCTTTTATTCAATAAAAATGGTTTGTTCTAGTCATTTTCTACATGTGCAGGCAAGAATGCTAACCACGCTTCTATTTGCAGAAACTCCTGCACAAAGTTGCAAAAGCTTTTCTGCCTTTGCTACCTGTCAGTTGGTTGTTTACCAACCAGATCAGTTCACATGTGGTTTTGACCATTGCATGCTTCCTTTCCTATATCAACAACTGCCAACAAACTGCTGCACATAGCGTGGTGGTCAACAAATTCAATTGCATTGAGGAGAGCCTCTGCAAAATACGAGATAATCTTAGGTGGTTCAAACCAAATGACAAACATTGCTCTCCGAAACCAACCAAATTATACGTGGGAAGCGTTCTAAAACTCTGGAACGAGTTTAAACGGATCATTGATGCAAAGAGGAAATTGGACAACGTTAGTTGGTCCAAAATGTATCTCAAGGTTAAAAGCGAGATCGAAGACCTGAGGAAGGGCAGCATTGGAGTTTCTACATTGGAGAACTTTTACAAACGGAAAATGAATCCCAAACCCAAAACCTTAAAAGTGATAGTGTCATGGATAGAAAATGAGAGGAGAGAGTATGACGAGGAGAATTACAAAATTAATAGTTGAGCGAGCCCAAAGAATAGGGACAGTTATCGCCGTTCAAGGCAGGTCTAGGGGCCGACTGCTTCTCTCCCTTGCAAGCTCGCCCAACGTGTTTATTGATCGTTTATGCAATAAAAATCAAGCTGATGTAATCTCCACGTGACTCATTTGTTTAAATTTTCCCATCCCACTTCATCGACGTGTTTCGCTTAATAACTTGTGTTCTAACTGTAACGTGCTTGCAATCGTATTCTACTGCCTTGCAGTCGGTTTACTTCTTATGCGTCACAACAAACAGCGAGATACAGCATGGAGCTTCAGAAAGTTTTGAACAAAATAATCGAGGCAAACCCAAGCCTAAGTTGTCCCGTACAAACTGGTTTTTCTGAGCTTGCAAACTGTTAAGTGCAATGGTAGCACAGTCGGTGCCTCTCAATACTGAAGAGAGGTTTACACTGCCATAACCCATTGCATAAGGCTACGGTCGCACAGTTTGCAAGGGTTGGTTAAGCGCAATGGTAGCACAGTCGGTGCCTCTCAATACTGAAGAGAGGTTTACACTGCCATAACCCATTGCATAAGGCTACAGTCGCATCAACCTTCCTCAGAGTGTAGACTTCCGCCACTATCATGTCATGTTCTGTTTGTATGAAAAGCTCTGCTAGCAATCTTTCTGTTCTTTTATTACATGGGTTTTAGCTTTCCGAAACACAAAGATCCTGTATCACATGGCTATTACAGTCCTTCAATCCGGTGCCCTTGGAATTTTATCGATTTTTAAATCGGAAAACGAAACATATTGCAGTCAGTGGGTATCTTTCAGCACTTTCACATGTCTTGGAGATGTCAGATGACATGTCTGAAGAAAAGAAGGTCTTGTTTGGAGAGATCCAACAAAAATGGAAGGTGAGAATACCTGTATGAGTGTGCGTGCTGTCTTTTCTTTTAATGAGTTGTTTCCTTATATATGCATTACAGGACGGCATGTTCAACAGCGACTGGACAGTATATGCGGCAGAACGGTCAGCACTATCATCTGTCAAAACAAGCATCTCCATCCAGAAAGACTTCAATAGTGAAGTTTTGTCTCACTGCACTAAGGTAAGAATTTTTTTGAAAATTTTCAATGTCATCCTGCATCTAATCCATGATTGACCACTGTGTTATTAGAAGCAGAAATATGACCCATCGATGCCAAATAAACCAGTGATCAGGGTCGACATGGAAGGATTGTCAGTTAGTTTACCCATTTTTTGATTCATTTCGCCACATATCCTGCACTGCAATAACTTTCTCCACTGTATATGACCAATAGATACCCTCAGATATCATTCGAAAAGAAAATTAGGTTCGCTGTGTTATGGCGAGCTGATCTGATGAATCAGATAAGTAAGTCACATGATAAAATCTTCCTCCATAGTCAAACAAACCCACAATCGGCAC